TGTTTTTATTTACTAAACTATTTCCTAAATAGATGAAGCAGTTGAAATAACTACCTACAGTTACATTTCCAAATTTCAGTTTGATTCTCAGATGTAAACAAGCCAGTGTGAGAAGAGTCTCTGGGACATAAACTAATCAAGTTGTATCCTTCCAATGATGGGCCAGGAGCTTGGGGAAGAGTAACCACATTGTGGAAGTGACCTGGTCACCATCTAGGCCTACAACGATTCCATACATCCATATTGTCCTAATGAAGCCCTGATATAAAAGCTTATTCTTTCAATATCTCCTCCTGAACAGAAGCCTTGCAGGGGTCCAGAATAGCAGAAATTTTTATGAGTACAATCACTGTTGCTGTTTCCAGCCCTATGTTAAACATGCCTGAAACATAAGCGTATTCTGCCCTAGAATCAGAGTAACAGGAGAGTGGATGTCACAGTGGGGGGCGGCTTCCTTCATGTGTCACAACAGCCAAATAAAAGTCCTCTTTTTCTTCTTTTTTTTTTTTTTTAAGACAAAGCATAAAGGATACTCAGTTTGTTCTCAGTGTGGGTTTGGGTCAGTGAAGCTATGCATACTATAGCCAAATCCAGTAGCCATTCTGAAAAACATAAATTGCATTAACTATATGGCAGCATATAGGAGGTAAGCAGAGGCTGAATAGAGATGTGAAAAACATGTGGGAGAACACTGAAAATATGTTTTAAGTTTTATATATTTCCCCCTAACTCATGGAAGGCTATGGCATAACATTTATCTCAACAGCTTTGCCTAATGATAGCAATGTAAAAGATTTATTTTTTAAATAGTATTTAAAATCTTTATTGTTGAAAATATTACAGATATCCCCCTTTCCTCATCCCCGCCACTGACCACTAAGATTTATTTTCAATAAGAATTAACTTCATCTTCTCTTGAAGTTAAGATTAATTGTAAGTACTATGTAGATAGTCAATTATAAAAATACTTTTCTGGGACTGCTGAATTGTCATAGAAAAGTTAATAGTGTATTTGATATTGGATCAAAGAAGTACTTTTATGGCAACAATAGAGATATCCAGTTATGATACTCAACTATTATATCTCAACCTAATAGCTTATTAGCTGTTGTCTACATATTTTATTTCAGAGATTGTTAATGCATCTTTAGTTGTTTGTAATCTTCCTAACATGTAGATGTTTACAGACTCCCTGCAACAATCCCCTGCAAGCATCATGGATGCTCACTATAAATGGTTAACAAACCTGTAAAAGGGATATACTAACAGTACTTACTCTTAGGCTGCATACGAGGATTATACGCAATAATGTACATGAAGTATTTAGATCAGTGACTGGCACCTAGGATGTATATTAGTTTGGCCCCTCCAGGAAATAGTTACCTCCACGTGACAAAGGAAAAAATGTTAGTGAAAGTACTACTTACAGTTATGTGTGTAGGTTTAAGGGAATAAGCAAGGGATGGTGGCCATCCAGAGACTAGCAATACCCTCCGGCTAAAGGGCCACGGGGAGGAGAGCCTGCTGACAGCTAGAACTAGTAGGCACTGTAGTCTAAGAGGGAGGAAGCTGCTGACAGAGATGCTTTGTCAAACCAGAGGGGATCGGGAAGAAACTCTGGCCTATTTCTTCTGCCAGTGCCTCCCATCAGCCAAACCCAAACAGCAGCCAACTTGGCCAAGGTAGCCCAGGAGAGGAAGTCTTTGGTGAGTAGTTTGCTATTGCACAGGCAGAAAAGAACAAAGAATGGTTGGTGCTGGGGGAAGGGGGTGAAGTGGGGGGAGGCTGTTGGGAGGAGGAGGAATGCAAATGAAATACTTTGATCATTTTCTATTTTAAACCAAACATACTATTTGAATCCTAACAAAGTTGGTATAAATCTTTTTTTCCCCTAGGGGAAATAAATTATGTAAAATTTGTCTATGTGGTACAGAGGCTCATGTATGCTTTCCTTTTTTATTACCTTCATTAACTTAACAAATAATTATGAAATAACTAGTTGAGAAAGTACTATGATAAGAATTTTGAATAGTTTGTATTCCTGTTCTTATGGATATTATAATTTACAAACCACTCATATAAATTAATATAATTTAAATAATATAGTAAAAATCCCCAGTGTAAATTTTTATTAATGTAAAAGGAGGCAATACTTCTAAAAATGGAGAATTTACATTTCAAAATGTTCCTAGATTTGGGCAACTTTTTTTTTTTGATCAATAATGCCTTAAAAATATGATGAAAGCTGTGGATTCTCTTCCCCAGGAAGAAAAAGAGTGAAGATGCATATAAGAAGTGCTTTCATTGGTCGATGTCTTAGTTGAAAGAAGGGTCTTAAGCTTGTTCATTTGTGCCTTTCTCAGATTCTCCTCCCATCTCCCAACTGGGAGGTGTGCGGAGGTTCCTTTGAGGCTGCAGGTGCCTTAGAACACTGCAGAGGGCTCGGGTCAAAAGGCAAAGAGTAAAACCCAGTGGCATTGCCTGGCATGGCTATGCCTTGAGTTATTACCAATGTCACCGGCAAAGAGGTTCTTGGCACTCTTTCAAGATAGCAATCAAGAGAGGAGGCAAAGCAGATTCAAAAGGAGCAGCTTAGTGAAAACAAGGTGGAGGGAAAGTGAAAAGGGAAGGAGCTTGATGCATTAAGGGAGCATACAGGGTCTGGCTTAGGGCTGGGTTCTCCACACCAGTGCAGAGTGGAGCTCTCTGGCCAGTGCCTGAAGGGGAACTTTAAAATGGTCTAGGAGAGGCTTAAAAAGAATGGAAGAGCATTCCCATCCCTTTAAGAAAGGCACAGCCTGTCTCGCCAAGGAGCAGCAAAATGATGGAACACTGGTGCTTAACAAGAGCCACTTGCTCCCGTATATAAATGAAGAGAGGCCTTGGATACTTACCTTTTTTTCCCAGGTAAACTAGAAATCTAGATTTTAAGGTAAAATCTCCTCAAATTTTGGTATCTACTTAAAACATAATTGGAAAACTACCATGTGGGCCAAATGAAACATTTTTTTTGCTGGGTGAATTTGGTCCTTTGAAAGGCTAAACTTCTTCGTTTTTATTTTGAAAATACCTTCATCGTACCTCTGCCCCAGTATTCCTAATCCATGGGCACCCATGACACATCCTTTCCTGTTCTTCATGCCTAGTTTCTTCACTTCTCTATAATTCAATACCTCCTCTGTCCTATCGCCCAACTTCCTGTTTCCTTTCTGTGCTCCCGTCTTTTCTCTATTCCCAGCAAACGCCCGCCCGGCATGAGGATAAGATGCAATTTGAATTGAAGTGCAAATAACTCCTGTCCATGTTAAGGTGCTTCTGGAAGCAGTTTGGAGCTCCAAAGGCAGAACTCCCCATTCTGTCTAGTTCTGCATCATGGGTGAAAGAACCCAAACCAGAATTCTTGGTTTGGGCCAGGACCCAAAGAGTGAGCATCAGCTCTGACTGAAATGAGAACAAGCAGCAGTGACCAGACAGGCACTGAGAAAGCCAGATGCCAGGTTAACAGGGAACCTTGTTTTTTCCTCTGCTGTGCAGCCACTGTACCACTGCCACGTCCTTCTGGGAGTCGTTTTGCTGTGATTCGGGGCATCGAGGCCCCCTAGGCTATTCTTGCTGATTCCTGGGCACCCCATCAGCGCCCGGCCCTCTCCCCCAGGTAGCACCCAATCCCGTACTGATCCCCGCAAAGGCGTCCAATCCAGAGCGGATCCTCGCGCTCCCTAGACACTCCCGACTCCTTTGGCGGGAACCTGAACCTCACAAAAGGCGCTGCACCCTCCCCCCTTTTCCCATGGCACCCACGCCTCCTCTGGACCGTCCTCCCTCCCCATTTCCAAATAAACCTGATGCTAGTGGACCGCAGACTTCTCCCTGGTGATCTCTGGCTGCCCTGGCTTCAGCACGAGGCAGGTTAGTGCGGGGATCGCTCAGGTCCTGTCTCACCATCTCTGCTAAGCCTCCCTCCGAGCGGTTTAGATGCATCATGTTTCATAGCTGAACACAAGGATGAAAGCTTTCTATAACTGTCCCGACAGCTCATTTCCAGGAAGACATCCCCATCCCACCCCCATCCCATCCCCATCCCACCCCCATCCCATCCCCATCCCATCCCCGACCGCCTCAAGACCCATTTACAAGAGGCTTTCGGCATGTTCTCCGGGCTCACTTGTCAGCGAACCGAATTAGGATGCAATCCATGGGGCTGTATGAGCCTTGAGCCACTTTTTATTTTATTTCTTATTTTATGTGGTTACTGTTCATTCGCGACCCAGGAGGACGAGTTGGCGTCCTTTTTAAAATTCTCTAGGAGGAAGCCTCAAGCACTATTCTTTTTTTTTTTTTTTTTTTTTTTTTTTACGGGCGGCCCCCAGGCGGGCACACATTCGGGGTGACCTTTACAAAGTGTGGAGGAAGGGGCTGCGTCTTCTGTCTTCACCACGATGAGTGTCTGGATAGAAAGAAGCCTGATTTCCCCAAACCGGGAGCCTGGGGCCGGCTCGCCCGGGGTCTCCGAGGAGGGGTCCCGGGCGGGGCAGCGGGGGCCGTGGGCTGGGGCCGCCCCGCGGCTGCCTGGGCCGCCGACCACGGCCGCGCGGCTCCAGGGCCGTCCCCGCTCCCGCGCGGCCGCCGGGTTCCCACGTTAAAGCTCCGTCGCCCTCCAGACGCCTCCTCCGGGCGGCGGGAGGCGCACCTCCGCCCCGGGCTGGGCCCGCCCCCCGCGGCGCAGCCCCCGCCCAGCACCGCCCGCCGCCGCCGCCCGCCGCGCGCAGTGCAGCAGAGCGCGCTCCCGCCGCCGCCCGGCTCGCGCGCACGCGCAGGCACCCGCGCCCTCCGAGGGGCGGGCGCAGAGGGGGCGTCCGGGGCACCGGCCCGAGAGGGAGGCGGTCGCGTCGCCGCCGCCGCCGCCGCCGCCGCCGCCGCCGGCCGGGCTCGCGCTCGCCCCGCCGCTCGCCCCCCGCCTCACCCGGGAGCCCCGCGCGAGGGGAACGCTCTCTCCCGGCATGCAGCGGGCGGAGGGATTTAACACCAAGATGGCGGACGGCCCGGACGAGTACGAGGCCGAAGCGGGCTGCGTGCCTCTTCTCCACCCCGAGGTGAGGAGCCGCGCCGCCGGGCGCCGTCCTGGCCCGCAGGCCCTCGGGCGTCTCTCCCTCGGACTCGCGGAGGGCGTTGGCCTCGGAGTGTGGGGCAGCGGGACGCGCCCAAGTTTGGGGCGGCTCATCCAGGCCCGGGCGCGGGCGGATAACGGGGGAGGAGATAGCGGGGCGGGCCGGCCGGGGCGGGCGCGGGGACGCGGTCCCAGGCGGAGCCCGGAGGACGGAGCTGGAGGCGGTGAGGGCTGAGCTCCGTGGCCGCGCTGCCCGCGGGGCGCCGGCGGCGGCTGCGGCGGGGGCTTGGCCCCGGTTGGGAGTCGCACCTTTTAGCCCCCTGTCGTGCCCCGAGCTTCTCCGGAGAGGAGGAGGCGCCTCTAGTTTGGATTTCTTCTGTCCCTTCGCCTTAGTGACTGACGCTGTCAGTGCCTCCCTTGCAGCCCGTGTGTGTGTGTGTGTGTGTGTGTGTGTGTGTGTGTGTGTGTGTGTGTTTGGGGGGTGCGGAAAGGGGAAGAACACAGTTTCTTGGACAAAGTGAGGTCCTTCCATGTTCCGCTGTAAGTAGAGCACCTCCTAGGAGCAGCACCTCAGACACCTTGTATCCGATGTCCTATGTGGAGCATTTGTTCTTAAGCAATTCAAAAAGGGAGGTCAAAACTTTTGGGAATGGACCCACGTTCCCACTAGCTTGTCAAAGTACCATTGTTTTTATTTTATTTTATTATTATTATTATTTTTTGTTTGTTTTGTTTTGTTTTGGAGCCAGGGGAGGACAGTGCAACACGTTCCCCATCACATGAGTGTCTCCCCCCTGTAGGTAAACAGTGCCCCCGCTCCAGGATCAGCCACATTCTGTGCTTGCTTACCTCTTAGTTCACAGTGAACTAGTGCTAGCTCAGGCCGGGGAGCAGTTCTTGATGCATTCTTGTTTTTAACGGTGCACAGGGATGTGTGGATGGGCAGCGGCAAAGCTTCCTGAAGAACCCCTGTAGTTTTTATCAGGGTAAAGGATGAAGATAATGTTTGTGTTGTAGTAGGGTGGACCTAAGAATTATGTACCTGGCTACTTTGCATTAGAATACTTTTTTTTTTTATTTCTGGATTTTGATCTGTAGCACATGCTTATATCATTTAGGGAGATGTGAATAAATGAATAAAGACAAGCACTTAACCGTGTCATATATGAATACTCAACTAGGCTCGTGTTCATTACTTTGATTAACCAAAAAGAGATGGTACACCCGGGTCAGTCGCAATAGAAAAGGCTACTCTGGGTTTCCGACAAAAAGAACTGAACAGTAAGACTATACCTTTTCTATGTTTTTGTTATTTGTTTTTTAACCAATGTGGTAACATTTCCTGGGACTGAAGAATATATCAGGAAGTAGACAAAGTAGTTTTCAGATGATGGATTGAAAATGTTGCCAAGGAATATTTCTTCCCTTAAAAATTAAAAAAAAAAAATTTGATTTCAGCCGAAACCGGTTTGGCTCAGTGGATAGAGCGTCGGCCTGTGGACTGAAAGGTCCCGGGTTTGATTCCGGTCAAGGGCATGTACCTTGGTTGCGGGCACATCCCCAGTAGGGGTTGTGCAAGAGGCAGCTGGTCGATGTTTCTATCTCATCGATGTTTTTGGCTCTCTATTCTTCTCTCCTCTTTCCTCTCTGTAAAAAAAATCAATAAAATATATTTTAAAAAATTTGATTTCAAAGAGGAAGGGAGAGGGAGAGAGAGAGATGGAAACATCAATGAGGAGAGAGAATCATTGATCAGCTGCCTCCCGCAAGCCCCCCACTGGGGATTGAACCTGAAATCTGGACATGTGCCCTGACCGGGAATCCAACCGTGACCTCCTGGTTCCTAGGGAGGTGCTCAACCACTGAGCCAGGCTAGTTGGGCACTTTTCCTGCATTTTTAAAATTAGGTTAATAATACCAATCAGAGTTCTTGTGAGTATAAAATAGAATGATGTGTACTAAGCTGTCTTCAGAGACCTAGGCAGATAGGCTGCCAATTGAATCTACTAAAGGTGACATATAGTGAATACTGATCCATTACTTTGTTTTCTGATTAAATAGGTGATTATTTATTTTATAATGGAGGAAACTAGAGACTATTTGGGAAAGGATGAACTGATTATCAAGGGATTAGGGTGCTAATCCCAGTTCTGATTTGAGGTTTGTGAATATTTAACTGCTTTTAGTGTCTGTGCTTTTAAGATACAGAGTCCAGACTACATAAGTCTCTTAAGATTTCCTCAAACTCTAATGGTCTGATTGTATGTTGTGATTTTTCAAGATTCATAGACTTGAGCATCTATTTTCTAGATGCATAGCACTGTGCTGGATTATATGGGTGAAACGAAAATAAATGGGGTAGCTTCTGCTCTCCAGAAGTTAATGATCTAGTTGGGAAGATGTGTGCATATGAAACACTTAACAGAATCCAAATAAGTGCTGAACTGAGTAGTGTAACCATAAGGAGTGTCAGATTTCTGTCATCTGGAATGGTTAGAAGAAAGACTTTAGTGGAGAGATAGAAGCCACAGGTTCATCTGACTTGCTTTTACCAGTCATCTATTTCACCTATTAGTACATCCTCAGGAAGCGTCTCAGTTCTTTCCTAGAATGAGGCCACAATACTCTCTTCTATCAGAGCATTATTATAGGGGCTATTTCAGCAAGATCTGAGCTTTGAACTGGATTGCCGAGATTATCTAGGGCTTTCATCTCTTGCTTGCTTCATTTCCCCCTCAATTTGCCTTCTCTCTAGTTTCTCATTTTCTTAATGGTCACATTTTTTTCTTTTGGTTTCACATTAATTTTGTTCATATTCATATTTCATTTTTTATTGTTTAGAATATTAAACCAAAGTAATACTACATCTTTTGTCTTCACATCCATATAATAAAAGTGTAGCATGCAAATTGTCCCCTTGACCTGGAGTTCTTCCGGGAGTTTGACCAAAGGGCGAGGAGGCTAGTCAGGGAAAGGGAGGGAGGCCCTCGTTGGTGGCTGTGGGGGAGAGAAGGGGGGGAAGGAAGGGAGTACCCAGCAGCAGCTGGCAGCCACTGGGGACTCTATCAGTGCATGAATTTAGTGCACTGAGTCTAGTATTTTATAAAATCTATTTTTTGAAGCTTTTCTTTAATAAAAGTGATTTTGCCTTTTCCATTACTATCTCCCCCCCCCCCATTGTGTAGTTAGAGATACACATGTTTACAGTCACAAAAAATAACTCATTTGCTTTCAGAAATCAGATATAAAATTACATGAAAATTATGTTTCTCCTTCTGATAGGTTACTGGCACACTCTTTCCCCTCAAAATGTATCTTTCTGGTAATCTTTAGGATCTCATGCCTTTTATTACTTAGCAAAAGGTTATAGGTCATAAAGTTATAATTTAGCTTTATAAATATTATACCTAAACCATAGTAACCACTTAGTATATATAAAATGAAGATGCAACTAATTGGTTACCACATGGTATTGTGGCAAAACCAAAGTTGAAAATTACTGACCTATAGAACCAAAAATTTATATTTAGATGCAAAAAATGCCATTTTATTGTGTTGAATATTTTGTTTTATTTTGCTCACTGTTTTTATTTAATTTGAATTATTCCAGAAGTATTTTAAAGTTGACCCTGAAGTTGATAGATATAAGAGCAGATAGGTTAAAAGTGTGAGGGCTGATGTTGGGCTGCCTGGGTTCAGATCCTAAGTTCATCACTTACTAGCTGTGATCTTGAGCAAATTACTGAACTTGTCACAGTTTTCCAGACTAAAATGAAGATTAAATAAGATAATGTATATAAAGTTCAGTGTTGTGAAGATTAAATGAGATAATGTATACAAAATTCTGTGTCTGGCATTTAGTAACACTATAAATGTTAGCTATTAATGTTGTGGTAAGAAGTTAATATCTCAAGATATAGTAGTATGCACATCTACATATATAAAAGCCTAAGCGACCCTTCTACCATTCGACTGTTTGGTAGCTATGATGCGCACTGACCACAAGGGGGCAGACACTCAATGCACAGGCATGGAAACATGGAACAGACTGATGAATCTCAGAGGGAAGGGAGTTTGGGGGAGGGCAGGAAGAGATTAACCAAAGGTCTTACATAAATACTAGTGGCCCAGTGCATGAATTTGTGCACCTTGAAAGGAACTGTGGGCTGCGAGACTGTGGTGGGCACAGGGGCGGGTCTCGGCCCATCCTCCATGCCTCCGCCTATCTTTTCCCGCTGTGGCTCCCAATCCCCTGCCTGCCTGCAGTCCTGCTCCCGCCACCGCCATTCCCACATGCTAACTGCGCCGGCCCCGCTCACACCTGCTGGTGGCGTGGAGCGATTAGGGCCGGGGCCAGAAGCGTGTACAAGCAGGGCCAATGCCATCAGGGTGCATGCGGTGGCTGATGCCCCAATCACCCCTCAGGAGCAGGGGGAGGTGGAGAAGCCCTCAGGGTGATGGGGGCCGGCAGCCTCTGCTCGCACTCACTGATGGCGATGAACGATCAGGACCGGCCCTGAGCGCTGGCAGCAGGTGCAAGTGGCAGTTCCGATGCTGGCTGCAGGTGCCAGAGGGGCTGGTGCTGGCAGCGGGTGTGAGCAGTGGCTGCTGCCCCGATTGCCCCTATTGCAGGGGGAGGTGAAGAAGCCCTGAAGGGCGATTGGGGTTGGCAGCTGTTTCTCACGCCTGCTGATGGTGCTGAGTAATGGTGCTGAGTGATTGGGGCCAGCAGCAGATGCTGGCAGTGGGTGCGAGTGGGGCCAGCGACAGCAGCAGGTTCGAACGACGGGCAGGACTGCCGCACATGGGAGCAAAAAATTTTCTGTAATCACCAGAGGCTCACTCTGATGACAGCAACTGGCACTCCAGCTTGGTATGGCTCACCTTCTCCTCCATCCCACCGCAGCCAACGACCGCCATGTTCTGTGTGCCTCCCCCGGTGGTCAGTACACGTCATAGCAACTGGTTGTTCAGCCGTTCGGTCTA